TTTGGATTGCAAAGATTCTCAGTAAGGGGTAATAAGTCATTCCCAGCAGTTACATTTTTGACTTCGTAGTGCAGTTTCCAACCTTATGATCTTGCTTTTTAATTTCTGGTTTTGAGTTTGATTTTCCAACAATCTTTTCTCCAATGCTTCCTTTTCTTTGGCAAGTATCTTAGCATGGTGTTTACTTTGTTTAAGCTCATCTTTATCTTCTTCAGCTTTTCTTTTTAAACCCATGGACTCTTGTTTGCTTGATCATTCGGTAATCTGAGTCTTTACCATCTGTTGATAGGATGACTGGAGATCATTGAAATCCATACTGAGCTGTTTTTCAACCTTGCTAACTTGATTTGCTCTCCCTTTATGGATGTCTATCTCAATTTCTTTGTGGTATACTTCTTCTTCCAGCTTTTGCAAAGTTTTTTTTTCCATTGCTTTCTTTCGCTCTCAAAGTCTTGTTTTGCCAGCTCTAACGGAGATGGTATAATTCTCACATGTTCTTTGATGGGTTGAACATTCTCAAAATTAACCACTGGAATGTTGTCGTTGATTCGATTAATTCTCCATTGCTCGTATTTGGGTGAGAGCTTTTGACTGAAAGTAAATAAATTTACTTGATGAATCCGTTTCCAAGCCTCATTAACTTTTCTGATCATTTCCTTGTACTGATCACTTCTTAATACAAACACTGATTCAGATAAACCTGATGTAACAGGAATAAACTGTCTTGATCCATATTATCTGAAAACCATCAAATGTGCTTATCCTACAGAACCCCATATGCCAGGTAAGGGAACCCAATCGTGCTTTCCACACTTATACATATTTCTTGAAGAAGTATTCCATGAGGCTCGCCATAATACGTCATTATCTTCGAGATTTTGAAAGATGTTCATCCATTTTTCTTCACCATATCCTCCAGACCATTTTCGAGAAAGAAAATCTTGCAAATGTGAGAAATCTTCTAGGAATACTAGTACAGGAGCTCTTTCTTCATGTTTAAAGTGATTCAAAATCCATACCAATAATAGGGGTGCACAACCTATAAAACGTCCCTCTCCTTCGTGTCTGCAGGAATTCAAGGAACGAAATGTTTCAGCTAATATAACAGGAACCAGATCTGCATTCTTGTTCAATCTTTCAAACAGGTCTACAGCTGCTATATCCACATGCCCCAGAATCTTCAGAAAAATGATTAATCCATAGATTCCTAAAGCCAACATATCAATTTGTTTTCTTTTGTCTGGATGGTGGTAGATCACTTCTCTCAGGGCATTCCAAGTAATACATTCACTAACACCTTTCCTCTTGATATTTCTTGTAGCCCACTCTTCACACATCCCGGTCAATAAAAGCACAGTCTTCTTAAAAGGAGTAGTATTGGGTGACTTGATATATATCATGTCTTCGTAGATTCTTGGACAGCAAATAAAAGCTCGACATTCCTCTATAGTAGGTGTCAAGTCTACTTTGCCAAAGGTAAAGCAACTGTAGGCAGGGTTTCAAAACTATGATAGAGCTCTGAACATATGTCGGTCAATAGAAATGTCCAAAAGATAAGCAATGTCACCATATAATTGATAAATAGCTGCGTGTCCGTTGTTTCCCATTTTTCCCAGATTTCTTTCAACTCACCCAGGTTATTTTGAAGAACATTGATATGTGTATATTTAACCAAATCTGACACGTATCTAGGTGATAGACTATTTCCCTTGATAAGTTGAGACTACTCAGACCATCTTAAAACAACTACATTGTCTTCTACTTCATATTGAACTCTTTGTTCCATATTTCCAGCTTTCTATATGAAATCAGTCATGAATCAAGACCATAATATGAAAGATGCAAAGTGTAGAATTGAAGCATTAAAATAAATAAAAAACTAATTTCATATTATCTAATTCAATGCTTTATTCAAAACAACAAACCTAACCGTATGATTTCTAGTTTGCATGCATTTATTAAAAATAATTAAATAGTGCTAAATAAAATAAAAATTCAACATGTTTTCTCTTCTGTGCTTAATCTCACAAGACTTATTCAAGTTAGGCTTCGACTAGACTTAAGTTCTAAGTTTTACTATATGTTGGGTTTTGGCTCTAGGGTAAAAGGATCAATGAATTGTCCTTTGTTGGTGTCCCCTTGAACTGCCAAGCCCTCAATCCTGATCCATTACAGACTTTCGAATTAAGTTCAATTCGAAGGAACACACTTCCTTATGTCCAAACGGAGGTGAAAACCTCACGAGGAACATAAGGTGTGAGCTCAAAGAATGGTCCCATATCCCATACGGAGGTGAAAACCACACGAGGGAGTAGTTTCTCATTCACTTAAATAGGATAAGAGCGGGGTTTTAGCTCATGTCATGAATGCAGTGCACAGTGGGTGAGGAAAAGCATAAAAAATATAAAATAATATACAACCCATTATTTTATTCTAATGACCAAAAATTAAATCTGTACACGTAAAATCAAAAAGTTAGTAAAATAATAAAAAATAATTAAAACAAAATTAAAACAAATTTATTATTTACTGCAAAGACAAATAATTAATAAATTGGTGGTTGGACTCACTTTTAAAGTCCCCAGCGGAGTCGCCAAGCTGTCGAAACGTTTGTTTGTCTGGCGATATTACACCTCAAGGGGTGTAACTAGTCTCGAAAAAGTAAGTGTTTATCCACCTTGAATCATATGAAACATCAAGTTGTAGAGTCGCCACCAATTTTATAATTTGGTGAGGTTGGTCACCAAAATGTCATATTACTTTAATAAAATTCCTAATAATATTATTAAAATAATACAACTCAGGACTGCTTAGTTGAAAAATGAGTTCGGGAGTCGGTTACGTATGGGGAAGGATTAGCACCCTTATAAAGCCCAAAATTGGTACCGATATTTATTAATTAATGTCTTTGCAATAAATTATAAATTTGTTCTTCAAAATTAAAATTAACAAATAACTTAATATAGACAAATACTAAATAATATTTATTAGTCCTATAATAAAATTATATTATAATTACATAAATTAAATTATAAGTTATTTATGATAATAATCCTAAAATATAAATACTAATTAATCACATAATATAATAATTATTAATAGTTAATACATAAAATATTTATATTAATTAATCTTTATTCAAAATAATCCTAAATATATGGGCAAATTATATAATTTACCCTAATTTACTAATAAAGGACTAAATATAAATAATTAAAATTTAAAGGACTAAATATGTAATTTTATCTAAAATATATGCATTTACAGTCAGGGATTAAAATAAAATTAAAGGATAAAACTAAAATGTATAGAACATATTTTTATGACTAAAATGAACAGTTACAAGGTTACAAGGACCACGGGTGTAATTTTCCCATACCCAAATTTACGCGTAGGTCCCTCCCCTAAACGACATCGTTCGGGGAGGGATATATATAGGCCCTTATTAGGCCTAATGAGGCCTTAAACCTCATTTTCCTCTCCTCTCTTCTCTCTCTAACCTAGAGGTATCTCTCTAGTTTCCTCGCCTAAGGAATATCGGCCACCAGCCGGCAGTCATGCACCGTCGATCGCCACCACCATCGACCACCACCTACGGTGACCAGAAAACACATAATACCCCTAAAAAATTCCTCTTTTTCCCCTAAAGCCTAAACCAAACTCCGTTTACGCTAAATAGTCTTCAATCAAAGTAGATCTAAGGTTTATACCTTCGACATTTCATATTCTCCAGTGGCGCGTGGAGGCGCGTAGGTTCTCTGATGATGGTAAGGCTTCATTTCCTTCACTCTCTTCTCTTTACTTTCTAATTTTTGTGTATTGGATGTTTTTCCTTTACTTTTCCTTTGTTCGTTTGCAGGTTCACCCTATTTATAGGGGGTTTCGATGCTCCCTTTAGACCGATTAAAAGACTGTACCCCGGTGAGTCACCAGAGCTACTGTGGTGACTCACCCTAGGGGTGGTGAGCTGTGCAATGGAGAGGCTGAGTGCATTTAATGCACTCAGATCTTAAGAATCCGACGAGGACGTGGCAGCTACGTGACTATTGTTGGTTGGAGCGTTCGGCGACGAGGATATCATCACTTCTATGGCGGCGCCGAAATAGCCCTTGGGTTACAATGAGTACCCTAGGGTTTTGTTGGTTGCACTGGTGACCGTTGATTTGCTTCCTGATCCAACGGTGGAAACAAGCTGGCGGATGGAGAGACATGTGTGAAACCCTAATCACCCTTGGATCTGCTATTGGGCATGTTGGACTGTTTGGGCCGAATATGGTTCTGCGCAAGGTATGTTGGGCTGCTTGGATCGAATCTGATTGTAATATGGGTTCAGGGCTATGCTTGTAATTGGACCTTCAGGTTGTAATTATTTTTATTTGGGTATGTAATAAAATTATGATAATTTAATAAAGATAACACTAATAATATTAAATATAATAATATATAAATAAATAAAGACTCAGATGAAAACGACTGTCGACACACGTAATATTTGGTCATTTTTATTTTTATTTAATTAACATATGATCACTTTCATTTTTATTTCATTAAGATTGGTCACTAAAGGTGTGATTGGATAGGGGATTGTGAGATTACGCGAGGGGAAGTTTTTTTCCAGAATGTGATACCATGTTTGGATTGCAAAGATTCTCAGTAAGGGGTAATAAGTCATTCCCAGCAGTTACATTTTTGACTTCGTAGTGCAGTTTCCAACCTTATGATCTTGCTTTTTAATTTCTGGTTTTGAGTTTGATTTTCCAACAATCTTTTCTCCAATGCTTCCTTTTCTTTGGCAAGTATCTTAGCATGGTGTTTACTTTGTTTAAGCTCATCTTTATCTTCTTCAGCTTTTCTTTTTAAACCCATGGACTCTTGTTTGCTTGATCATTCGGTAATCTGAGTCTTTACCATCTGTTGATAGGATGACTGGAGATCATTGAAATCCATACTGAGCTGTTTTTCAACCTTGCTAACTTGATTTGCTCTCCCTTTATGGATGTCTATCTCAATTTCTTTGTGGTATACTTCTTCTTCCAGCTTTTGCAAAGTTTTTTTTTCCATTGCTTTCTTTCGCTCTCAAAGTCTTGTTTTGCCAGCTCTAACGGAGATGGTATAATTCTCACATGTTCTTTGATGGGTTGAACATTCTCAAAATTAACCACTGGAATGTTGTCGTTGATTCGATTAATTCTCCATTGCTCGTATTTGGGTGAGAGCTTTTGACTGAAAGTAAATAAATTTACTTGATGAATCCGTTTCCAAGCCTCATTAACTTTTCTGATCATTTCCTTGTACTGATCACTTCTTAATACAAACACTGATTCAGATAAACCTGATGTAACAGGAATAAACTGTCTTGATCCATATTATCTGAAAACCATCAAATGTGCTTATCCTACAGAACCCCATATGCCAGGTAAGGGAACCCAATCGTGCTTTCCACACTTATACATATTTCTTGAAGAAGTATTCCATGAGGCTCGCCATAATACGTCATTATCTTCGAGATTTTGAAAGATGTTCATCCATTTTTCTTCACCATATCCTCCAGACCATTTTCGAGAAAGAAAATCTTGCAAATGTGAGAAATCTTCTAGGAATACTAGTACAGGAGCTCTTTCTTCATGTTTAAAGTGATTCAAAATCCATACCAATAATAGGGGTGCACAACCTATAAAACGTCCCTCTCCTTCGTGTCTGCAGGAATTCAAGGAACGAAATGTTTCAGCTAATATAACAGGAACCAGATCTGCATTCTTGTTCAATCTTTCAAACAGGTCTACAGCTGCTATATCCACATGCCCCAGAATCTTCAGAAAAATGATTAATCCATAGATTCCTAAAGCCAACATATCAATTTGTTTTCTTTTGTCTGGATGGTGGTAGATCACTTCTCTCAGGGCATTCCAAGTAATACATTCACTAACACCTTTCCTCTTGATATTTCTTGTAGCCCACTCTTCACACATCCCGGTCAATAAAAGCACAGTCTTCTTAAAAGGAGTAGTATTGGGTGACTTGATATATATCATGTCTTCGTAGATTCTTGGACAGCAAATAAAAGCTCGACATTCCTCTATAGTAGGTGTCAAGTCTACTTTGCCAAAGGTAAAGCAACTGTAGGCAGGGTTTCAAAACTATGATAGAGCTCTGAACATATGTCGGTCAATAGAAATGTCCAAAAGATAAGCAATGTCACCATATAATTGATAAATAGCTGCGTGTCCGCTGTTTCCCATTTTTCCCAGATTTCTTTCAACTCACCCAGGTTATTTTGAAGAACATTGATATGTGTATATTTAACCAAATCTGACACGTATCTAGGTGATAGACTATTTCCCTTGATAAGTTGAGACTACTCAGACCATCTTAAAACAACTGCATTGTCTTCTACTTCATATTGAACTCTTTGTTCCATATTTCCAGCTTTCTATATGAAATCAGTCATGAATCAAGACCATAATATGAAAGATGCAAAGTGTAGAATTGAAGCATTAAACTAAATAAAAAAACTAATTTCATATTATCTAATTCAATGCTTTATTCAAAACAACAAACCTAACCGTATGATTTCTAGTTTGCATGCATTTATTAAAAATAATTAAATAGTGCTAAATAAAATAAAAATTCAACATGTTTTCTCTTCTGTGCTTAATCTCACAAGACTTATTCAAGTTAGGCTTCGACTAGACTTAAGTTCTAAGTTTTACTATATGTTGGGTTTTGGCTCTAGGGTAAAAGGATCAATGAATTGTCCTTTGTTGGTGTCCCCTTGAACTACCAAGCCCTCAATCCTGATCCATTACAGACTTTCGAATTAAGTTCAATTCGAGGGAACACACTTCCTTATGTCCAAACGGAGGTGAAAACCACACGAGGAACATAAGGTGTGAGCTCAAAGAATGGTCCCATATCCCATACGGAGGTGAAAACCACACGAGGGAGTAGTTTCTCATTCACTTAAATAGGATAAGAGCGGGGTTTTAGCTCATGTCATGAATGCAGTGCACAGTAGGTGAGGAAAAGCATAAAAAATATAAAATAATATACAACCCATTATTTTATTCTAATGACCCAAAATTAAATCTGTACACGTAAAATCAAAAAGTTAGTAAAATAATAAAACAAAATTAAAACAAATTTATTATTTACTACAAAGACAAATAATTAATAAATTGGTGGTTGGACTCACTTTTAAAGTCCCCAGCGGAGTCGCCAAGCTGTCGAAATGTTTGTTTGTCTGGCGATATTACACCTCAAGGGGTGTAACTAGTCTCGAAAAAGTAAGTGTTTATCCACCTTGAATCATATGAAACATCAAGTTGTAGAGTCGCCACCAATTTTATAATTTGGTGAGGTTGGTCACCAAAATGTCATATTACTTTAATAAAATTCCTAATAATATTATTAAAATAATACAACTCAGGACTGCTTAGCTGAAAAATGAGTTCGGGAGTCGGTTACGTATGGGGAAGGATTAGCACCCTTATAAAGCCCAAAATTGGTACCGATATTTATTAATTAATGTCTTTGCAATAAATTATAAATTTGTTCTTCAAAATTAAAATTAACAAATAACTTAATATAGACAAATACTAAATAATATTTATTAGTCCTATAATAAAATTATATTATAATTACATAAATTAAATTATAAGTTATTTATGATAATAATCCTAAAATATAAATACTAATTAATCACATAATATAATAATTATTAATAGTTAATACATAAAATATTTATATTAATTAATCTTTATTCAAAATAATCCTAAAACTATGGGCAAATTATATAATTTACCCTAATTTACTAATAAAGGACTAAATATAAATAATTAAAATTTAAAGGACTAAATATGTAATTTTACCTAAAATATATGCATTTACAGTCAGGGATTAAAATAAAATTAAAGGATAAAACTAAAATGTATAGAACATATTTTTATGACTAAAATGAACAGTTACAAGGTTACAAGGACCACGGGTGTAATTTTCCCATACCCAAATTTACGCGTAGGTTCTCTGATGATGGTAAGGCTTCATTTCCTTTACTCTCTTCTCTTTACTTTCTAATTTTTGTGTATTGGATGTTTTTCCTTTACTTTTCCTTTGTTCGTTTGCAGGTTCACCCTATTTATAGGGGGTTTCGATGCTCCCTTTAGACCGATTAAAAGACTGTACCCCGGTGAGTCACCAGAGCTACTGTGGTGACTCACCCTAGGGGTGGTGAGCTGTGCAATGGAGAGGCTAAGTGCATTTAATGCACTCAGATCTTGAGAATCCGACGAGGACGTGGCAGCTACGTGACTATTGTTGGTTGGAGCGTTCGGCGGCGAGGACATCGTCACTTCTATGGCGGCGCCGAAATAGCCCTTGGGTTACAATGAGTACCCTAGGGTTTTGTTGGTTGCACTGGTGACCGTTGATTTACTTCCTGATCCAACGGTGGAAACAAGCTGGCGGCTGGAGAGACATGTGTGAAACCCTAATCACCCTTTGATCTGCTATTGGGCATGTTGGACTGTTTGGGCCGAATATGGTTCTACGCAAGGTATGTTGGGCTGCTTGGATCGAATCTGATTGTAATATGGGTTCAGGGCTATGCTTGTAATTGAACCTTCAGGTTGTAATTATTTTCATTTGGGTATGTAATAAAATTATGATAATTTAATAAAGATAACACTAATAATATTATAATATTATAATAATATATATAAATAAATAAAGACTCAGACGAAAACGACTGTCGACACACGTAATATTTGGTCATTGTTATTTTTATTTAATTAACATATGATCACTTTCATTTTTATTTAATTAAGATTGGTCACTAAAGGTGTGATTGGATAGGGGATTGTGAGATTACGCGAGGGGAAGTTTTTTTCCAGAATGTGATACCATGTTTGGATTGCAAAGATTCTCAGTAAGGGGTAATAAGTCATTCCCAACAGTGACATTTTGGGGGCTTATTACCGAGAATGTCATTCCCACCAATCCCTTAGGTGTTATTCTTTTCCCATGACTTTGGACTAAAATGCCCTTAAAATAATTTTTTTTCAAAAATATCCTTCTCCTAACCGTTGAATAAAAAAAATCTACGAAAGGTAAATTGCAAATTTATCCTTAAACTATTTTAGATTTACAAAAAAGTCTACAATTAGAATTTTATATGAAGTTCAGGGTTAAAATAAAATGAAACCCTTTCATTAAACTAATTTATCTTTTAAATTTTGTAAAAAAATGTATATAAATTTTATGAATTTAAATTTTTTTAAAGAAAAATATATAAATTAAAAATAATAAAATTATATATTTTCTATGATCTTTTATACAAATATTTTCTTTTGAATATTAGAATTCAACTTGTTTAAAAAACAAATATATAACAAGGATAATTTGGTCAAATATACATTCCAATAATCTTTTATTCTTTTAACCAAATATTGTAATCTTACATTCATGCTAAACAAACCAAACATAACAATGCAACATTCCCAGTAATGTGTTAGGTACTGTTACATTCCGGTAATCCTATTACCGGAGGTAATGCTATATTCCATGAACCAAACGCACCCTAAGAGTTAATTACTGTTGGGCCTTTAATGAATTGCTGACATGACATAATAAATATATTCACATGAACCACAAATTGAGTAAGTTTTTATTTTTCCATTAAAGTTTCAAAAGTAAAAAAATTAATCACTAAAACATCAAAAGTTTTTTTAATTTTTAATTTTTTTTCAAACATCCCACCACCTTTGCTATATTCACATGAACTACCTTTCCCGTAGCACCAACTCAAGACAATTTATTGATCGCAACAACTCATGAATCATCATCATCATCTTTTTTGTAGAAATTTTTTAAATAAAAATTTTGAAATTAAATGAAACCAACATTTTTAGTAATTAACTTCAGATATCTTGAGAAAAGGTGAACACCACCTGCGATGCAAAAATACCATTGCAAGATATAATTGAAGTAAACTAGTAAAAGAAACAAACGAGGAAAACAAAATTGAAACATAAAAAACGGGTTAACCTTCAATTTACTGGATGAGTTGTTAATCCCCGGTAAAATCTACAAATACAAAGGCAAAAATTTAGCTTGCAAAATGATTAACAAAAAAGGTTCATGCATTTCAATTTTTAAAAAACCACAAATGTACCTAAAACATGTTCCAAAAATACCCATCGCGCCTTTTTACCTTTGTAATTGAGACCCTAATTTTTTTAATCTCACTTTGTAACTTTATAATCTTAATTTTTTTGTAGTCATACTTTTTATCTTTATAATCTCACTTTGTACCTTTATAATTATGTTCCTAATTTTTTCAATCTCGCTTTCTTCCTTTATAATTGAGGCCCCTAATTTTTTAATCTCACTTTTTACTTTTATAATTGAGACCCCTAATTTTTTAATATAACTATTTACCTTTATAATTGAGGTCGATAATTTTTTCCATCATACTTTTTACTTTTAAAATTTAAGCCCCTAATTTAATCATTTTATATGATTTTTAATGTAATATTAAATTAATTTTCAAAGTAATAAAATATACTTTCGTTTTATAAGGGCCTATATTTTAGTTTCGCTCAAGGCCCCGAACATGGGCAGAAGGCTTTGTCTAAGAAAAAATTGGATGGCTAGTGGTAGTAGCAACGAAGAAAGAAGAAGAAGAATAAGAAAAAGCTTACTCAAACATTAATGACCATTTGTGTAGTTTACCCTTTTAATTTTATACATTAATGACCATTTATGTAGTTTACCCTTTTAATTTTATACATTAGTGATTGTAACACTCTAATCCAATATGACACAAAGTCGGTTGTTTAGAATGTCACACAGGGCCACCGTAGTGGCTAGCCCAAAAATTTGTTTAAAACTTTGTAAAACATCATTTAAAGATCATTCAATAAAACGTAAATCAAACATAACCATTTGAGTTTATAAAGGTGAGATCCCAAAATACAAATATCAAAATAACACAATCAATTATTTAAAATGGAGTAACAACTCAATTACAAGAATGTCTATGAATAATACATGCCCTCTAAAGAATAAGACATAAGATGCACACTGTTGCTTGTACTGTCTGGAATTACTACTGCGCGATAAGCTCGTCGAATACTCCTCCTAAAGACCTACACACGGAAACAAATTTTGAATGTTGTGCTCACTATCCCAATGTGACACTAACAACTAAACCATACTAAAAGTGTTCATTAAATGCTCATGCTAACGGGTGAAAATAAAGAAGTAAGTATACTTGTATATTGCATACTACACTAGGGTAGACACCATGGTGTGGTCGGAGGGTTACACATCGGGACACATACCCCTCTAGCCTACCTAGGGTGAGATCTGAAATTTTTGCATCAGACATAACACCCGACTAACCCACCCCTTGCGAGTGTTTAGGCCTCGAACCCTAGTTAGCCTCAAAGTGTCTCGCACACTTGCTTAAGTATATCCATATATTATAAGCCTCGAAACTATCATCTTCTACTAAAGTAACTCGGGTGTCCTGACTATTTCTCGAGCATCAACCAAGGCCAGTTTTATGTCATCCTAACTTATATCGTTTCTAGATGTAATTGTAAATTAACAAGGTTCCCACTTGTATTTTTATTTGATGGTGTTGTGAAGTTATTGAGTTCCTCAAATATTTCTAAGTCCTTTGGGTTTCTTCCCCAAAAGTACGATGGTACTGAAACTAAGCCCCTTAGTATCGATATTGACCCAAGAGGATCGATACTAGCCCTTGGGTACTATACGATTATTACAAGCTGAGAAAAAATGGTAGTACCAATACTCTTGGACCAGTATCGATACTCCTGAGCTACGTATCAATATTATTCTGGTTATCGATACCAAATTTTACTTCGATGTTTTGAAAAATATCACAGTATCTATACTCCTACTAGGAATATCGATACTCCACCCTCGATATCAATACTCCCATGAGTATTAATACTAAAATAGGATTCTAGAATGCGTGAAGTGAACATTGATACTCCTCATGCGAGTATCGATACCTAATTCATAGTACCAATACTCAGTGAATGAGTATTGATATTCCTAGCTTAAAACCCCTTTTATTTTGGTTATTCGATGAATAATATCGGAATTGTTCTTCCAGTACTAATACTCAAACCTACAAATGTCATGATTGGGCACGAAAATGACTTCTTACTCTACCCCAAGTGCCCTACTAAGGTTCCCAAACATTCTTAAAGTTTTATGTATGAAAGAAGGGGTCATAATAGGTCTTTAAACATGCTAAAAACACCAAAAGCTTGAATCTACCATGGATACTCATTGATGCTTCATAAACTCAATACTCACTAGCTATATGCATTCTAATGACTCACAAATGCTATGAAGGAGTTGTGAATATGTTACCTTAGTTTCCTAGTTGTTGAAAATGTTCTCAAATCAACCAAGGGTCAATTTTTCATTTCCTTTAGCCTTTGAGCTTTCTCCCACCTCTTTCACTAACCAGACAAGGTAAATGAGTTACTAACTCATGTAGGAACTTGAATTGAAGTTAAGGGAACATCTTAAAACTTAAATCCACTAAAAAAGAGATAGAAACACTTGGTTTCTTAAACCTTCTCCAATACCCATTTATGGAACTATAGCCAAAATTTGAGTTCAAAGGCTTCAATAGAAGCTTGGGGTGAGTAGATTTCAAAGTTTACACTAGAAGTCTCGAACAAAGTTTACAAACTACTAAGTTTTAATATTTGCTAAAGATTGGTGAAGAAGAAGGCAAATGGAGAAGAAGAGAAGAAGGCAAACTAAGGTGTAGGGAAATAGAGAAGAAAACATATATGAGATTATCAACAATTAAGGGATTTCAGCCTTTAAAATTCTAAATGGTATAATTGCACTTTTATTCCTTCATATTTTATCCTAAGATTAAAAATGCTCTTTTCAAATTAAAATGAGTTCCAAACCAAGCCCCACTCAGCCTCCAAATGGACCAAGCTCTCCTACAAGGTAAATTGTAACACCCCAACCCATATCCGACCCGGATACGAATCCAAGGTGTCACATTGACCTTTTAAAACATGTACTTGTATAAAATAGTGAGTAATTTAAAACTTTTATGACATATAAATGACTAATTTACATAAAAGACATTTTCATTATTACAAAACCAATCAGAGCGTGTATATTTCACTTATTTATTTACATATAACTATTCGAAACATTTATAAAAATGTTCATAGCTTAAACAATATATTCTTTTGAAAACATGCCAACTAGAACTTTATATACTAAAATACATATTATTCACATCTTTTCTGATCTGACCTTTAGTAAGGAGAACTGA